CTCTTCGCTCCAGAGCATCTGCCCGATTGCCGACAGGCACCTCACCCTCACCGCCCTCCCTTCCCCCACCAGCTCCCCTCCCAGCTCCTCCTCGAACATGAGCTTGCAGTCTACTGCCTCCCCTTCTTCGTCCACTCCGTTACCTTGAACATGCTCCCGTGCCGCACGCTCCCTGTGCTCGTCAGCTCTGCAGCGACGCTGGTCCAATCCATCGTCCCCTCCCTGTTCGCGTTCAGGAGCTGCTGGACCAGCGCAGCCCAGCGCTCGAAGATGATGATGGCTTCCCCCATGGACCTGCGAGGGATGTGAGGAGAGGATGGAGGGGGAGGGAGGAGGGAGGAGGGAGGAGAGGAGGGGAGGAGGGAGGAGGGAGGAGGGAGGAGGGAGGAGGGAGGAGGGAGGAGGGAGGAGGGAGGAGGGAGGATGTAGGTGCGAGGGAGGGAGGAGGGAGAGAGATGAATACGGTAGATGCTGAATCAGTGCAGTTTCACTCCGAAGCATCTGGAGGTCATGCCCCCGCAAAGCGCGTACATCGGGATCTGGGGAGTCTTCCAGGTTGGGCTCTTGTGTTGACTGCCAGCCCACGAGGGAGTGACTCGACTGCTCCTTGCGCAGATGAGCTTCTGGAAGTCAGACAAGGCACTTGCCCTCGCGCTCCTGCCCGCATCAGCTTCTGAGGTCTGATGATCAGGTCATGGCCTTCAGCGACTACATGGACAGCACGGCCCTCGCCTACACCAACAGGCTCGGGGAGCAGGTACCTCTGGCTCCTCCCCTGTTGCCGGGATGAGGGGCATGCCAGGCATACTACGTCCTAGCAACAGGGCTGCTGGTGTCTCCAGCTGCTCTGCACCAGTACGCCGGGCTCGGGTGCTGCCGGGAGTGAGGAGGAGCTTGTTGGATGACCGAGACCGCAGGCCCTTCATGCACAGAGGCAACGAGATCATCATGGGAAGGAGGGAAGTGAACGGATTTAACTTGATAAGGTAGGAGGGGAGCAGTCAAGATTCCTTGTCAACTCCCTCGATCTCCGGACTGACTTGACGACGCTGGTCAGGGACGACGTGTTCTGCCCTGAAGCAAGCAAGTGGGACTGTGCGTCTGCCGCCGTGTGGCCGAGCTCTAGTAACCTGTCGTGCAGGCAACGAAATCTTTGAATGTGAGGGAGAGAAGTTGGAGGCATGAGGGCGGCTGCATGCTAGACCTCCAGGTGCGGTTGTTGAGCCTGTGACAGGTGTGGAGAGGACGGTTGCACCCGACATGTGAGATAGCGATCACGAGCATGAGGAACGGCGAGATGTCAGGTCGGAAGGTCGTTGAGAACTTGACATTGCACATGCGTCAGCGCTCGGGGGGAGGATGGAACAGAATAACAACAAGGGGGCAAGAGGGAGTTGTCGTCTCGTTTTGTGTATTTTAATCACAACGAAGTTCATAAATCATTTACAAGAAAGATACATCAAGAAGGAATGAAAGGACTTGCCGCACAGGTACTTAGAAGTCATGCTCCAGGCTGAAGCAATGGTTGCCCTGCCCTGTCTCCTTGTTGATTGATGACATCACTCCTGCCTTCTGGTAGTCTCCAACCCTCTTCTCGAAGAAGTTGGTCTTGCCTTGCAGCGAGATCATGTCCATCCACTCGAACGGATTGGAAACTTTGTACTGTCACCAACAGTCAGCATGACAAGCACAGTTGTCATCAGCAACGCTCTTCTCACCACTTTGGGCTGTCCAAGAGCGACGAGCAGCCTGTCCGCGACGAACTCGATATACTGGCTCATCAGCTGGGCGTTCATTCCGATGAGATCCACTGGCAAGGCCTCGGTAACGAACTGAGTCTCGCAGTCAACGGCCTCCGTGATGATCTGGGTAACCTGCGACGAGGTCAGCACTGAGGGTACGAGATTTTGACTCTTCGCACCTCCTCGGTGGAGAGCTTGTTCTCCAGCATGGAGTAGATGAGGCAAGCAAAGTCGGTGTGCAGTCCCTCGTCACGGCTGATGAGCTCGTTGGAGAAGCAAAGTCCGGGCATCAGACCTGAGGTCAAGGTCAACAAAGTCTTGCTAAGCACTGAGAGCGTTACCTCGCTTCTTCAACCAGAAGATGGCGCAGAAGCTGCCAGAGAAGAAGATTCCCTCAACGGCGGCAAACGCGACAAGGCGCTTCGCGAAGGAGCACTTCTCTCCCATCCACCGGATTGCCCAGTCCGCCTTCTTCATCACAGCTGGCACGGTCTCGATGGCCCTGAAGAGCTTGTCCTTCTCAACTGGGTCTCTGACGTAGGTGTCGATCAAGAGGCTGTACATCTCCGAGTGGATGTTCTCCATCGCAACTGGAACAACAAAGTCAGATGCACAGGAGTGGATCAACAGCATATCACTTTGGAACCCATAGAAGCAGCGAGCCTCAGGGATCTGAATCTCCGTGGAGAAGTTGCCAGCAAGGTTCTCGAGCACGATGCCGTCGCTGGCAGCAAAGAACGCGAGGACGTGCTTGATGAAGTGCTTCTCGTTGTCATTCAGCTTCTCCCAGTGGATCATGTCCTGGGAAAGATCGACCTCCTCCACAGTCCAGAAGCTTGCCTGCAAACCCCAAGAGCCAGTAAGGATCGCGCATCAGACTATCTTTATCGCACACTCCAACACACACCATTGTCACATTTTTTATCATGACGATATAAAGAACATGTCTTTGAACACTTCAGGGCCATCCAAATGCTAACACAGCAGCAACATTCGCTCCGACTCGTGCATGGGCCCTGCAGCCCATTCGTGCATGGCATTTGGGGGACAGCAACAACATGGTACAGAAAAGAGAAGGAGGTAGAGATCACCTCGTGTTTCTTGTACATCTCCCAGACAGCATGGTACTTGATGGGAAAGAGGACGAAACGGTTGGGATTCGGGGTCAAGAGCGGCTCTGCCATGGCGACTGTAGAATGGAGAGGGCTGGAGGGCCTTAAAGAAGGGCATCCACACGGGGGTGGGGTACATAAAACCAGGGTAGGGGTCATGGCACAATTTCCTGGGTGAGGTAGTGGATGAGGAGCTTGGGACTCTGACGGCAAGATGTCACTGCTGAGAGCGAAAAGGGGTGGGGTAATTTCAGTAAAAATAGTGGGTGGGGGTAATTGTATTACACCTGCTCATGCCACCTAAAAGAGGGTGGGTGTAACGTAATTGGATGGTAGGTGCTTACAAAAGGGGGTGGCGTTCAGGTTGATGGGTGGGGTAGTTTTGAATGGGAAAGAATGGGGTCCTTGGGAGTGGAGTGGCTGGGCGGGAAATTTAAAAGATTTTTAATAATCCTTAAAAATATAGTATATTTATGAATAAAACGTTTTATCTGTACCAAATAAATTACTAAATATTCTTTAGTATGCAAAACTCTCAGCTTAAAGTACCACTGACGTTTTCACAGGGATTCTGTACCATGTTAAACGAGACTTCCATAGCTTCCGTGAAAGGGGGTACGGACATTCAAGGGGGTAAAGGAGGTGGGAAAAGGGCTACCCCTTACATGTTCTGTAAGGGGTAGGGGGTTTATAAAAGATCTCTTAGGGGGTAGGGTGACGAGGGGCAGAATGGCGGGATTCGGAAGCCCTTAGGTATCGACAAGAGTCGCAAAAGTAAAAACTCTCAGTGACCGGCCAACTCCGGGAACTACATCCGATGATCCGGTCCGACCGGTCTTCGGAAGCCGCTGCCGCTTGAAGGTCCTCGACTCTCCTGATTGTCCTCGTACTGATTTTTAACTTAACTTTGAGTAAAGAAGCAGCCACCGTGCCGCCGCACCCTCCGGGGCCCGGCCGGGACTCCGTGACTCAGACCGGGCGGGGGGGCGCCGGGGGGGGCGGCGGGGGGGGCGCCGCGTCGCCTAGCACACGGTACTCCGTAGTACCGGGGGCCTGGGCCGGGCCGGGGGGCTAGCTGAGCGGCCGGAGGCTACCGCCGGGCTAAGCGGCCTCAAACAGGCTGCGGGCGCCTAACAAGTTCGCCTCAAGTTGCGCGGCGGCAGTGCGTCACTGGTCAGGCCAGTGCCCCCCGGCTGCACCCCCCCGGCCCACTCACGGTGCTGCCGCGCTTCAAGTCCTGGCACTTCCGTACGGTAGTACTCAGTGACTGAAGCGGCCTCGGACCTGCCGCAGGACTTTATTGAAGTCACTGGCCGACTCGGATTTCATTGGAGTCAGATTCGGAAGTCAGTATTGGAGGTCATGGGAGGGATGAGGGCCACACAGGTTCCAACTGCCAAGGGAACCTTCTGGGACTGTAATGCCGGGGGGTTCATAAATACGTGAGGGGTAGTCTGTAGTCGGGGGTTACATTTCGAAGGTAAAATAGGGGTATAGTCACAGGGAATATGGGGGTTCCAATTTACAAAGTAGGGTCATATTTCCGAGTCACACAGGAGAAGGAGGTGGGGTGGGGGATTGTGGGTGCTGCCGGTATGGCAGCCGGGGGGACGATGGAGGAGGTGGAGCAGCTGCTGGCAGAGGCTGAGCGCATGGAGCACGAGGGAAAGATGGGAGGAGAGGAAGAGGAGGAGGAAGAGGAGGAGGAAGAGGAGGAGGAAGAGGAGGAGGAGGCTGAAGAGGAAGCGGAAGAAGAAGAGGAAGAATTCGAAGACGACTTTGAGAGCGTGTCGGACAGCGACAGAGGATCGCAGCATGACATGCATGAGGGTCTTGCGTTCCATCAAATATCGTCGAACCGAGACCAATATGACTATGATGAGGAGTTTGAATCAGACACAGAGGAGAAGCAACAAGAGAAAGCATATCAGCCCTTGGTCGTTGATGAGAAGTTTCATAAGTTGGACGATACAGAGAAACGGCATGTGGTCATGGAGCAATTGCGGATGATTCAGTCAACATGGATGGTGGAGGGATCCATGCAGAAGAAGATCTACAAGGTTGCAGTCCACCAGATGGCACTATCATTGGTGGAGGATGTGCTGCAGGGGGTCTTCGATATCTTTGAAAGAGCATCAATCGAGAATGAAACTATGGAGTCAACCAGAGCTGGGCAGAACGCAAGGTTTCAACAGGTTCCGTTCTTATGATCACTTGATGATGGCACTGTGCTGACTCAGTTGCAGTTGAGAGATGCTGAGATACGAGTCTTGGAGACCAGAAAGCAAGCCCTGGAAGTTGAGAAGAAGAAGGAGGAGGATTGGAGGAGGGTCAATGAGAAGTATCGAGAGCGAGCCAGAGAGATGGCGAGGCTGCACAAACAAGCGATCAAGGCCAGGGAGGAGGACATAGCAAGTTACATCGAGAAGAGTAAAGGTGGTCAAGGCGAAGAAAGTTCAGTTTCCCTGCAAGTGTCGTTGCAGTCTGATCATAGTGACGAACGTGCAGGAGAAGGAAGCTGAGGTGGTCAAGGTCCGCAAGAACGTACAGGAAATCAAAGAAAAGACTGTGAAGAAGAGGAGCGAGCTTCTCGAGCTCATCACCACCAAGAAAGAAGAGGCCGAGTCTGCATCGGTCTTGATGCAGGAAGAAGTTCAGAGCAGAGAAGCATACCGCACCTTTCAGCAGGACGTTGCGGTGAAGCACATGGAGAAATTTCTGAGGCAACGAGAGGAGGGGAAGAAGCAGCAAAAGCAACAATTCCGCAAAGCCTTGCAAACAATCCAACTGGTTGATAAGGAGATTGAAAAGGCTGTGCGACGGAACAAGCATGCAAACAGCGATGTTCAGTTGAAGCACAGAAGGGATCAGAGTCAGAAGCTGAAGAAGATCAAAAGGCGGATGGGAAGTTCCGACTCAAGTCAGACGAGCAAACATCTGCAGATGTCTCTGAACTCCTACTTCAACTCATCTGTGAAGGAGGTGCATTTCCCCGAGATCAACAGCACCTCCTCCTCCGAGGAGGGGAACCAGAGCCTCGCTGAATACCTTGAGAGGAGCTACACAAAGCTGGTGAACGGGGGGAGCAAGGGCGTGAAGGCTCGTGATCTGTTCGAGACGCTCTTGAGCTTCGACAAGGCTGTGTCGAAGGAGAACTTGAAGTCCCTGGTGATCGACCTCAGCAACGGTCTCTGGCGCGTCCTGGATGACGAAAGTTTCGTTTCTGTGGGGGTTCGGGTGATGAGAATTCTGAGGAAAGGAAGCAAGGGAGGGGCAAGGGAGGAGCAGGAGCAGAGCTGCACGCAGAGATCGGAGGGAGACTTCAAATTCCCCAAGCCCGAGCTCGAGGCCCACCTGCAGGAGACGTGCAAGACGCAGGAAGGAGAGGCGATCGAGCTGGAGCAGCTGGCGCAGGAGGCGTCGGAGATCAAGAAGAGGAGGAGCAGGAAGAAAGCTGAGGTCAACGTGTCTGTCTCCGAGAGGAGCAACGTGAGACAGGCAGTGGAGCCGCAACCTGTCTCTGAGATGGGGTTCGGAGCGGTGGGATCGCATTCAACAGTCTCTCAGGTTCAGGAGGAGGCGGCAGCCAGCGAGGCAGCCACACGGGAGGAGGCTGAGGAGTCGAGGAGCACAGATGCCCCTCCGTTGTCCCTGCCCCCAGTGCGGCAAGCTCCCGTCCTCCCTTCTAAGGAACCTCTCAGTGTCATTGGCACAGGCGGGGAGGAGGAGGTGAAGCAGGAGACAGTCCCCCCGATCTCCAAGTTTACATTCAAACCGAAGGCAACGAAGCTGAGGCCGTTTTAGGCCGCCATGTTCTATAGCACACCATGCACACGTCATCTTGAATGAAATGAACACTCAAGTGAAGATGAAGACTGCACGCAACCCGCCTAGGGCACGACGGGGACTTGACACTCCTCGAGTGCCTGTGAGATGGGATCCATCACACTAGAGTCCAGCTCCAGCACCTGCAGGATAGTCAGAGATGAGGAGGAGGGGGAAGGGGAGGAGGGGGCGGGGAGAGGGGAGAAAGGAGAGGAGGAGGAGGAGGAGGAGGAGGAGGAGGAGGAGGAGGAGGAGGAGGAGGAGGAGGAGGAGGAGGAGGAGGAGGAAAGGGGGGGGGAGGAGCACATCGACGGACCTCCCGGATTATCCTCCTTCCTATTTCGTCGTTCTCGTTGGACCCTCGGAAGCGATCTTGGATGTCCCAAGACGCGTAGACGTTGATGTCCACCGAGGTGTGCGACGCTGTTGTGAAGGCAACTCGGGATGCCTGCGGAGGAGGATGAGGAGAAAGAGGAGGGTGAGAAGGGTGAGAAGGCGAGAAGATTCGGAGGGAGAAGTTGCTGCCGCACCTTCTGCACCATCAGCGACAAGTATCGCTGCATGAGCGACGTACAGGCCGATCCTAGTTGCATTCCTGCTCTACTTCAGCTCGCGTCCAGCTAGAAAAGGAGGGTTGAGAGAGGGGGTATTGCGGGGAAAGGGGAAGGGTCAACTCGCCTGGCACGACAGTGTACACGTCATCCATGCACGTGTAGTTGTGGGCGAGCTGGGAAATCTGCAGCAGGGGAAGTTGAGGAGGAGGGGCTGCAGCTGGGGGTGTGCTCACCGCTTGCTGGAAGTTCGCCTGGTCCTCTGAGCTGGGGGAGATGCCCAGCTCTGGAGGAGGATGAAGATGAGCAGGAGGCGTGTAGGGCAGAAGCGACTCACCGTCCTGGATTCTTGCTAGGACGGAGGGGAAAGACTTCCTGAGGGTTTGGTTGCAGCAGACCTGCCGCCTCTCCCGTCATGGCACCCTCAAACTCGCTGCAGCCTCCTGCACACCTGCGCCGAGAGCTGCGGGAGGGAGATGCGAGCACGAGCAAGGACCTGCGAGGAGGCGATGAGGAGAGGGGAGTGGGAGGGAAGCAGGTGCTTGGTGATGAACAGGTATCAACGTAGAAGGAGGAGGAGGAGAGACAACGATGATGGTAGTGCTGGCGGCATGAGAAGTGGCAGTAGTAGGAGGATGAGAACGGTGGGGCGTCGTACATGGAGACAGCGGCATGCGGAGGGGTAAGAGGAGGAGACGGGGAGGGGAGGGGGGAGGGAGTGGGGGGAAAGGAGATGCTGATTGTCACCTCCGGCGTCCATCCATCGGTGGTGCCATATGCTGACGTCCCGATCTGAACTTGGCAGGAGCCTCCTGGCAGGCAGATGGGCTGAACCAATCAGCTCCTCCTCCTCTTCCTCCTCCTCCTCCTTTTCTCCTTCATTCCCTTTCCTTCCTCTTTCCCGCCCCTCCCTACCTGCGAAAACTTCGGCTGCCAGTTCGTCTGCATGCCCGTGGTGATGCCGCCGCAGCTGTGATCGGCGACAGAAATGACCTGCAGAGACATGAACATGCGAAGAGGAAGAGGAGAGAAAAGGGAGGAAGGAGGGAAAGGAGGCAGGAGACAGGAGGAGGGGAAAGGAAGGAAGGAGGAGGGAGGGGGCGCGAGCGAGGGAGGAAGAAGCGGAGGAGACGTTGAGGAGGGAGGAGGTGAGGGAGTGTGCGGGCGACTGGAAGGGGAGGGAGGGGTTACCTCGATCTCGTGCCCGCTGGTGCGTTCTGCCTCGATGAAACGGTTCACAGCCTGAGCGGCATGAGCTGGGAAAATAACCCAGGGAACGGGCGAACCTCGAAGGCGTCGTTGTAGGCAAAAGTGTCAAAGGCAGCTGGAAGAAGAAAAAGGGTCAGCTGGAGTCTGCCGACGTGGCTCGAGACCTCCAGCCGCGTCGTTGCCGTGCAGCGCGTGATCGATACGCGATCCCTCGACCTGAACCTCAAACTTCAGGTCGCGGCTGCTGCTCACGAAGGAAGGAGGGTGTGTGCGTATGTGTACATCAGGAGGATGGAAAACTTTGACGAGAAGGAGGAGGAGGAGGAAACAAAGGTTTGCTAAGGGCATCGACCATGAGGCAGAACTTCTTGCCCGTTGCCTTGAGTCTCGTCAGCGCAGCCTCCGTCATCTCCCTGCGCGCGTGCGTCAAGAGAAGGGAGGGAGGGAGGAGGAGGAGTACGCAAGGGATGGCTGGCGACTTGATCCATGCACTCGAACCCGATCGACTTCATACCTGCAAGTGGCACAGACACATAAGAAGCTAAGCTATCTCCTCGTCCTCGTCCTCGTCCTCGTCCTCGTCCTCGTCCTCGTCCTCGTCCTCGTCCTCGTCCTCGTCCTTCTCATCCTCTTCTTCTCACCTCTTGACAACACTGTCCCCAGTTTCAGAGGAGGAACGTGATTTGGCCTCTTCCTGCTCCACAATCACACCTTGCTCCCGCTTCCTCCCTCCCACCCTCGCTCCCTGCCTGCTCACCGTCCATGGAGCTGCAGCAGAGGGTTCTTCTCCTCCTCCTCTCCTCCTGACTTCATCCCTGTTATGAAAACTTTCTCCTCCTCCACTGGCAAACGAGCCCCTCGACCCCCCGGCTCCTCTGCTAGCACCCTCGTGGCCATCTGCCCGGCCCGTACGCATCTCAGTCTGCCCTCTGATGCCTGGAAGAGAAGAGGAGGAAAGCACGGGGAGGAGGAGGAGGAGGAGGAGTAGGAGTAGGAGGAGGAGTAGGAGTAGGAGGAGGAGGAGGAGGAGGAGGGGTTGAAGGGCAGGTGTAGGTAGGGTAGAGAATAGACGCAAGGGAGGCAGGAGAGAGAATGAAAGAGACAAAAACAAGTTCATGTCAGCAAACCCTTGAGACGATAACACGCGAGACAAGAGAGGGAAGGGAGGGGAAGAGGAGAGGGAAGGGGAACAGGGGGAACGAATGAAGGAGCAGGAGCAAGAGCAAGAGGATGAATGAAATTTGGTATGAAGAGGCAGGAGATAACCTTGACGGAGTTGAGAAGGAAACTCTGAAAGACGACCTTGTTCTGTCGAGCTGCCTGAGCGAACAACACCTGGTAGACGCAGAGTGAGGGAAGAACAAGACAGAAGGAAGCGGAGGAGGGCTGGGAAGGGGAGGGGAGGGGAGGCGAGGAGAGGCGAGGCGAGGCGAGGCGAGGCGAGGCGAGGCGAGGCGAGGCGAGGAGAGGAGAGGAGAGGAGAGGCGAGGCGAGGAGAGGAGAGGAGAGGCGAGGCGAGGAGAGGAGGATCTTCTAAAGAAACAAGGCGCAGTGAAAGAGAGACCATGCTTTTCTTGCTTCTGGAAGCCAATCGACAGGCCGCCCGGAGGGGGTGACGCCG